TGTACATTTCTTAATGTATTTTAACAGTGTTGTTCAATGAAACCATATGATTACTCACTTTTGATGTTTTATTTAAACCAATTATTATTGCCTCATCGTTACAGATATTTTAAGTCTATTTTTAAAGATGTACAGTTTAAGCTACTGTTCATTTAAGTCTATAAAATACCAAATCATCAGTAGATCGCTCATTTAACAAAACAATCGTTAGTGGCAGCGCAATTTAATGTTTCAAAATGCACCTGCATTGTTTATACACTTCTTTAACAATTCTATTAAAATACCGTTTCATCACCTTCTCTTGAACAACATGATGTATCGACTCATCTCCTGAGCTAATGTATTCGCACAACTGTGAGCACCATACCAGAGTGTTAAGTAAAATGATTAACATAACCAATATATCAAAAGTAAAACCTCAGAATGGCACATATTAGAATAATATGTTAAATAATTAATGAATTTATGTGTCTGTAAAGTTGATGTTATTGTGAAAATACAATTAATTTTCAGCTCTGTTGATGGTGTATAATTTGTAGTAAAGTAATAATGTAAAACCGAAAATAATTTAATTGAACACTATTTGAGGTATTTGGTGTCACAGTCTGGAGGCGACGTACTTCTCACACGTAAAAGTACACGACTGTCAACTCCGGCAGGTAATCCTGTCACATAATACTCGCCATAGATGCACAAAATACACCTCATAAGCAGCAGCGTCAGCATCGCTCACTCTGCGTCTGCCTCTGAAAACGTCTGCATGGATGAGCTGGACGTGGACGGGAACTTCATCCGCTTGCACAACAGCTCTGAGCAGGTGTGTCTGTCTGACACACTAACTCATTACAGCACTCTGAACATGCCGGCAGGTAATCCTGTCACATAATACTCGCCATAGTGTATTTTGTGAATTGTCTGTCTGTTTTGTGACATTGCATATTTATGCAGAATTTTGAGTAGTTAATGTTAGCTGTGTAAAAACATTGTGATATTACTGTTGCTTGTAGGAACTTTCCATTAAATAACCCAGAGCCGTTGAATATTCATGCTCTGGTCTTACCCAAATACACATTTATTCAATAGTATAGCACATAGCATAAACAGTCACATGATGTTAACAGTTCAACAATGCAAAATGTCCTGTATTAAAGACAGTGTATGGTCTCAGTTATGTATGGCAAGCCGTATTAGCTTAAAATATCCCCAGTGTTACTTGTCGTAATTGCATTTTTACTAGTAACAATTCAATTAAAGAGCTCTACAATTAAATTCTTACTAGTAACAATTGAATTAGAGAGCTCTCTAATTCAGTTCTTACTAGTAACAATTGAATTAGAGAGCTCTCTAATTCAGTTCTTACTAGTAACAATTGAATTAGAGAGCTCTCTAATTCAGTTCTTACTAGTAACAATTGAATTAGAGAGCTCTCTAATTCAGTTCTTACTAGTAACAATTGAATTAGAGAGCTCTCTAATTCAGTTCTTACTAGTAACAATTGAATTAGAGAGCTCTCTAATTCAGTTCTTACTAGTAACAATTGAATTAGAGAGCTCTCTAATTGGAATTATTACTAGTAAAAATACAATTACAGAGCTCTTTAGTTCAATTTTTACTAGTAAAAAACCACATTAAAGATATGTTTAATTGCAGAGCTCTGTAACTGAATTAAAGAGCTCTCTAATTCAGTTCTTACTAGTAACAATTGAATTAGAGAGCTCTCTAAATGGAATTCTTACTAGTAAGGATTGAACTGCAGAGCTCTCAAATTGAATTATTACTAGTAAGAATGTAATTATAGAGCTCTCTAACTGAATTAGTTCAGTTCGTCACCTCTTCAGATAAAGGAAATATCAAAAACATGCACTATTGTTTTGCCTACAGGAACAGTATTAATGAGATCTATTGTCAGATCTTATGCTGGTGCAGTCCAAGGCCTTCCTGGTGCATGATTATGTGGCCACATGATTCCTGGCCACATGATTCCAGATGCCTCATGTGGCCAGAGTCTGTAGGCAGTCTCTGGATGATGAAGGCATACAAGTGAAAACAAGTACTGTGGAGAGGCAACAGCAAGGGTGGTCTGGGGAGGACCATCCTTAGAGTTCTCACAGACCTCCACATGCTATGAAGTATCGGGATGAAATTGATGCCATTGACTGACCCTCACATTCTCCAGACTTAAATCCAGTTTAGAACCTCTGGGATCTCATTTATCCAAAGCCATCAAGTAGCACTATAGACTGTCCAGGAGCTCACTTATGCTCTGATCCAGGTCTGGGAGGAGATCCCCCAGTACACCATGTGCCATCTCATCAGGAGTATGCCCAGACATTGCTGGGAGTTCATATGGGCACGTGGGGCCATGCACATTACTGATTAACATTAATACTTTTAATGTACTTTACTTGTTACTGTAATTCCTGCCCTGAATGTGTTTATGATTTTGGCTTTCATTGACCATTGTCACATTATTTTTTCCCCCACAACAATATGCAAAATATATAAGTGAAGAGTTTTAACCTGGATATTTCATTCATTGAGATCTAATAATTAAATCTAAGATTTAGGTGTTCCCTTAATTTTTTATATACAGTCTATATAAACAAATAAACAAATTTTTCTTTATTTCCTAGTGTCTAGTGGATTTATGAAAACAAAACTTTTTCAAATAGTACTTAGTTTGGTATTCATTTCTTATTGCATAAATGTTTTATTAAGATCTTGTTTTCTTTGCATCTATTCAAACTTGGTTTGATAAATATATCAAACTGTGTGTGTGTCTGTGTGTGTGTGTGTTTTCTATCCCGAATTAAAACCTTACTTAGAGCACACAGTAAGTAAAGATAATAATGATGATAGTTAATATCCAGATGTTCATCCACATGTACGTAATTCAGACGTTCATCCACACGTACGTAATCCAGACGCTCATCCACACGTACGTAATCCAGATGCGAAGTAAAAATATCCTTCAAAGCTACGTCCGCCACGACGTCACCGAGCACTTTGAGCGTGACCGTGACGTCTGACGTCTCATATTTTACGTCTGACGCCTGAATACTATGGGATTTGAGCGTATACATGTTTGTTCTCTTGTCAGTTTGCATAGCAAGAGCAAAAATTTCACAAAATACACCTCATAGCTGCTGGCCTCGGACTCCTCCACATCCACACGCTTCCTCTTCCCTCGCGCGGTGCGAACGCTGTGGCTGGAGGAGACCCGGGACACCGTCACACGAGCCGAGGGCCCCCCCGGGCCCCCCACCCAACGCAAAAGTCGCAAAAATAGTCTCTATCGGTAGTGCTTCGTTTGTGCTGGTTTGTGCAGGTAAAAGTTTCGTTTGTGCTGCTTTTGTTTTTTTAAATATTAGACATTACATTAAAGGCAATGACGTCACCAGCCCCCCTACACGCTCCAAACTCACCCAAAATAGTCTCAATCGTTAGTGCTTCGTTTGTGCTGGTTTGTGCAGGTAAAAGTTTCGTTTGTGCTGCTTTTGTTTTTTTAAATATTAGACATTACATTAAAGGCAATGACGTCACCAGCCCCCCTACACGCTCCAAACTCACCCAAAATAGTCTCAATCGTTAGTGCTTCGTTTGTGCTGGTTTGTGCAGGGTAGACGTTTCGTTTTTGCGGTTGTGTTTTTTTTGTTTGTTTACTGTACAGTTAAAGTAAGATCCAAGCGGATCCTAGTTAAGTTACCTATCGACTGTTTCCAACGTATAACAGACACAGCGGATCACAGGATAAGTGGAATGTAACACCAACTCCAAGGTAAATGTTTTTACTTGTTATTCTGTGCCATTACGTGAATAACAGTATATGTCATAAATACACGCACCATAATATGTTTGCTGTATCTCTGTGTTTATACATACATGTGTGTGTGTATTATATGCATGTATGTATGTGGAAACTCATGACTCAATGAATTGTCAAAATTATTTTACTTGTGGTTTTTTTCTGACACTCCTGTCACTCCACTTCTCAGGTCGTCATACATCTCCCAGACACATGGAGACCTCCTGCAGTAGGCCACATAATGTCCAAGAGCATCCTGGATTAAGCCTCCTTTGAAAGCAATGACTGCCCTTAAAGTAAATCTCTCTCCTTGGAGCATCAGATTGGAGGGAAATTCACTCAAAGGAAATTCTATGGAGTTGCTTCCCAGGTCAGTGTCAATCCACAGAAGTTCTCCTAGACTGTAACTGTGAGAAACTTTCCCTGCACAGAGCACTTTTCCTGATGTAGAGTCTGTCTTGAATGCAGAGGGACACTGTGATGGATTTTGGATTGGCCTGAGACAGGGGGACTCCGGAAGGTTAAGGCCTTCTTCCACTGCGGTCTGAAGATAAGCGATGCCAGAAGCCTGCAATACAGCAACAGAAGTACAAACAAATGGTATTTCCCTTGTGACTTGTGTGCTGTGACTGCAATACTGTGAGGAGCACTGTTGTGTGAAGTGTAAACAGGCATGTTTTGTCGCTGATTTTTCAATGATAGTGGAGATGTGGCACTGTGCGTCGATTTGGAGAGCACCAGACTTCAGTTGGACAGGTGTGAATATTCCACTCAGCAGCTCTGCCCTCTGTATGTAGGCCTGTGCATTCAGACCCTTTGTGGTGATGGTTTTCACTAGCTGGAGGAGGTTGTTGGAGTCCTCACCACAAACAATATTTGCAAAGGTGACACTATCACAGAAAGCACAACATAAGCATTGACAAAAAGCATCAAATGCACATGTGTTCAGCACAAAGATTCTTGATTTCCTGAGTTTAACAGGCTGTTGATTAGTTCCATTTTTCAACAGTTCCACTTTCAGTCTTTTCCCCCTCACAGATAGATCTGCATGGAGCCATTCAGGACAAGGAGAGAGGTATGAATTCCTCTTTCTCTTTTTGGGTGGAAGAGCTAGGCCTCTCCAGTTTTCAACAGGGTCTTCATCTGTTGGATGGATGATTGTGACAATGTCAGACTTCCCAGAACAGGAAGCATCCATTTCTGGTTTTACACCTTCACTGCAAGTTATGGTTGGTAGAGGATTGGCTTCTTTGACGATCACTGTTGCAACAGCTGCATCTTCTTCACCTTTTTCTTTACTTTTTTGTTTTGCAGAACAAATGCACATGTTGCCTTCAATGAAGGACAGATGTCGAGCAATGAATCGAGCCACCCGAATT